CCCTCCCCCATTTCTGATGAAGGGTCTAGGCCCGAAACGTCAGCCTTCCTGCTCCTATGATGCTGCTTGGCCTGCTGTGTTCATCCAGCTCTACACCTTGTTATCTCAGATTCTCCAGCATCTGCAGTTCCTACTGTCCCAGAAAACATTCTGTTCTCTTTATCAGAAAACTAGCTGCTGACTCATTGCCTCGTCTCAAATGCTCACATCCACCTCCTCCTTCGATTGTCTGTCTGTGTGTCCCTGGTACTTGAAGCTAAAGGTTTATATTAATAAAGCAATGCTGGCAAACCTCCCTGGTGGCACAGTCGATCAATGTATTGTCCAATTTAGTATTTGGGTAAAAAACACAGGAGTTGATCCCACACTCTGTGCTGAGTCGATTCCCACAGATGCTCATGATAACTCAGATGAGGAATTGCAACTTGGCTAAGACTTAGCCAATAAGAGTCAGAGAGGTGTTACTCATTCCCTGGCCAGTTGGTGATTATTAGACACTAATACTTTTTTTTTTAAAATTAGTCAGTTTATTTACAGAACACACCATTACACATATGCCTGCTTCCCACTTAGCAACCTCATATCTCAGTAGTCTCTCTTTACTAGCACTGCAATCACTAAACTATACAATGCCCTTCACTTGTTTGGGTGGCAGAAATCTGCACATGGAGTCTTTTAATGTTGGGAACCCATTGCACTGCAGCTACCATCGACCAGGAAATTCTCCTGCACTTAAAGCCTGCCAGAGGCTCATTGGAGGGATATGGAGGTTAATTATCGAACTGTTTAGCCTTGCCACAAATGCACTTTTCTTCATCATGAAGGTCCTGGAGTGGGATCTGAACCTGGAGCTTCTGGCTGACAGGTCGGGACACCATTCACTGTGCCACGTGGGCTTTTTGTGGACCGAACCCAACTATGACAGAGTTAGCGATATAGGTTAATGACCTTTCTTTCAGCAAAAGATGAAGTAGTTCCACCCACCTGACAACCCATCCTTTCCTCAAAGAGAGGGAGGTACACGTGAAATTCTGACTCAAGTCTCAAGAAAAGCACAATACGACCTAATACCCAAAATCACAATACATTACCATGGGCGAAAAATACTTTTTTTTTTAAACACACCATTAACGAAGGAGGTAAACAAAGGAGGTAATACCAGGGCAGCATGAAGGAAGAAGAGATTCTATTATTTACCATCCTCCTACCTCTCAGTGGGAAAGTTGGGTATTCAATACAGCGCATGCTAAAACGACTTCCACCATGACAAGTATCAAACAAGTCTTTAAATTTCCAATCCATGCCAATATCCTCAACTTAAGTGAAAACATTCACTAGCAAATATTTTTAAAAATGTGAAACTTCACCTGGAATTAACTCAATTGTAAGACCCAGTTTCTACAAATGTTTGAAGTCCATTTCCATTCAATCCCATGAAAAGATCTCAGTATAATCCTCACACAGATGCATCTGAACACTACCAACTAGGCCACAGTGCACTCAATGGCTTGGTGACTCATACTATTGCCTGGCAAAGATCTGATGTTTTTCAACGGCATTTTATAGACAGACTCACTTGCCAATGTGATGTTATTGTAGGCTTCTGAGGGAGCAAGGTATTTGTGTGGTTATGGATAGGGTCTTTGCTTGAAGAGTGACTTACAGCTAATATAAGCAGATAGAATTTCTCCTCCTCCCCCTTCATTTTTCAAATAATTTGGTGCCACAAGACAGCAGCGCCACAAGCGATGTTTTTATTCTTGTGAATGTTTGGATTCCTCAGTCGTTCTGCATCAATGCAGGAGGATACACTTGTTTGTCTCTTACAAAAAAATTCACACAATCTTTCCCATTGGATGAATAGGTCATTCAGCCTCTCAGCTCGTTCTGCTGTTCAATGAGATCTTGGCTGATATCCCATTTCCAAAGACTCATCTGCCCCATCTCATAAAACACCAAAAAAAAATTCTACCAACTTCAGACTTCAAATTAACAATTGATCCTGTATTAAGTTAAGATACATTAGAGATTAGCAGCTGAAAGCCTATTCCTAAAGTGGACACGTTTGGAAATCAGCAGAGGTCAGGATTGCTTTTGCTGCGATATATTTCAAATAATAATCAGTTTTTAAGTTCACATTTATTCACGGTTCTACTGGAGAAGATACATTAGGGCTACAGACTCTATAGCTCTGGGGGCCACTCACCAAAGAAGAAGAACCTTCAATAGGGGAGATGGTGGTGTAATGGTAAGGTCATTGGTCTAGTAATCCAAAGGCTGGGGCTATTGCCCTGGGGACCCAGATTTAAATCCCACCTTGGTAGCTGCTGGGATTTTAATTCAGTCAATAAATCCGGAATTGAAAACTACCCTTAGAAAAAGTGAGCACAACAACTGCCATCAATTATTGTAAAAACCCATGTGATTCACTGATGTCCTTTAGGGAAGAGAATTTTCCATCCTCATCCAGTCTGACCTTGCTGAAGACCCACATCAATGTGGCGGACCCTCAAATGCTCTCTGAAATGGGACCAGCAAGAAACTCCATTGAAGAGCAATTAGGGATGGATAACAAATGCTAGCCTGGCCAGCGACACCCCTGAAAAATTAAATGAAAATAGCCGAAAGGAGGGGGAAATTAGAAAAGAAAATAACAGAACAACATTCTCAGCTTGACTTAATACCTTAAGGATGGTTTGAAGGGTAAATCTTGCAGGAAAAGTGAAAATGCCAACAGATGAACAATGCTGGGAGAAAATAGGAGGTTTAATTAGCCAGACAATCTAACAATTGACTGGGGCAGTATAGTACCTTTCTTGCTTCCTTTCTTTAGGCTTGGCTCGATGTTAGGTAGTCCGACATCCATGGGCTCATTAATGATGAAGATCAGACAAATGAATGCCGACACAACAGCAATGGAACCAGAAAGCGAGAGGGTTACACGCCAACTGTAGCTAAGGGCCATCGTTGTGGCGATGAGAGGGCCAAGGCTGCCTGCCAAATTCATGCTGGTCGACAAAACAGCCCACCATGTTCCAAACTGTGATGGCTCAAACCACTATGAAGAAGCACAAGTAATCAAGCAAAAATAGAGAAGAATGTCTGCATTATACACACAGGGCTTGAACTGAATTCAAGGTGCTTTCCCTACCCCGCTACTCTTTGGTCTGATTTGAGGTTTCAATTAATTTCCTTCATCTTCCCACTACGTTTACTGCCAGTTCATGCCAACAATTAACAAGCGGCAGCAACGTGGTTAGCACTGCTGCCTCACAGCACCAGGGACCCAAGTTTGAATCCAACCTCAGGCGACTGTCTGTGTGGAGTCTGCACATTCTCCCCGTGTCTGCGTGGGTTTCCTCCGGGTGCTCTGGTTTCATCCCACAGTCCAAAGATGTGCAGGCTGGTTGGACTGACCATGCTAAATTGCCTGTAGTGTTCAGGGATGTGTAGATTAGGTGGGTTATAGGGGGATGGGTCTGGGTGGGATGCTCAGAGTTGGTATGGACTTGTTGGGCAAGAGGGGCTGTAGGGATTCTATGGATTCAGACTGGTCTAACAGACTCAATGGGAACTCTACAGCACCTTGAGTAACTAATTCAAGATGAACAAGGCCAATTACAACAATAATAGATTTCTTTCAAATGGATAATGATGAAGGCAAACCTGAGGGAGCAGAGGGTTAAACTGCTGATACAGTTTAACAATTTTTATAATGTACCTCATTGGTGACACCCTTAACCATCTCCAGTGTCTTGTGGTGTGTTAATACGTTAAAGATGTTACAGAAAAAGAAGTTACCATTATTGTCAAAGTCTTCCACACAAGATACTGTTAAGGACAACGTATAACTTTTAAGTGTCATTTGTAGTTTGCTCTTAGATAAGGGAAACATGGATAATGTTGGGATAAAAGGAATAAAGTGATTTTAATTTCTTTTCTGGGTTTTGTGATGAAGTCTTTCTAAGCTTTTTAATCAGTGTATTTTTTTTTCAACTTCTTGTTTGATAAATGTTTTGTTGATTGAGTTTAAAGGTCTCTGGCAGCCTCTTGTGAATGGATTCATTGGCTGACTTTCATGGTTAAAAAAAATTAAAATCGAAAATGTCAGGTTTCACGTTGGGATCTGCTTTATCCAGTTTTAGGGTCCCAGCTGATGTTAACAAAAGTAAAAACTCAACAGGGTGCAGGGGAGAAAAATGTTTCTTGAGGTATGTTGCCTAAAGCCACACCCAATATTCCAAAGCTGCTTTGACTGGTGGATCTACCCCTAGGATTTGAACCACATCCTTTAGGGAAGGAAATCCTTACCTGGTGTCCTACACATGACTCCAGACTCACAGACAATGTGCTGACGCCCGGCTGTCCTCAGAAATATCCCAGTGAACCACTCAGTCATGTCAAACTTCTAGCAAGTCTCAAAAGGAATGAAAGAAAATGGACCAGCTTTGGTGGTGGCCTGGGATTCTTTCATCGGCAGTTTTTGTTGGCATCTGGGTCTCCTTGTGATGCCTTCAGTGACAGTCTATGACTCCATGTAGCCTTTCTTCGGCATCCTTGTGGGGGTTGGGGGGCAGGCCTGGGATTCCAATGGTGGAGGAGGGGGGCATGGTCCTCAAGCCCAGAGCCGTGAAATGGATTAATTTCTTTCTTTTTTTTTTACATTTCTTTATTATACTACGGTGGAAGGACTGTTATTCTGAACGTCTTTATTTCTTTCTAATTTATTACTGTGATTTAGTATTTTTGAAGGTCTGTAACGCTGGACTTTTTATTTCTTTATTTTTCCATGTTTTTCTGAAGAATTTGTACTCAAGAATCTGTACCTAGATACCTTTGCACCCCAGATGACACCGTATTGGCAACTTGTAACCATTTCACCGTACCCGTTTGAGTGTGTGACAATAAAGCTAATTCAATTCAATCAGCACACTGGAACAACAACCACGACCCCCTGCCTCTCTCTTTCATGAACACAATGTGAAGGAAACATTGAGGGTGGCAAAGGTGTGCAATGTACTCTGGGATTTCAATGTCCCCCGCCAAGAATATCTCAGCAGCAGCACTGCTGATCGAACTGGTACGGTCCTAAAAGATACAGCCGCTAGACTGGGTATGAGACAGTTGGTGAAGGAACCAGTAGTCAGGGAAAACATAGTTGACCTCACACAGAGCAATCTACCTGCTGGAGTTGAATCAGTTCATGACAGTGTTGATAGGAGCGACCACCACGCAGTCCTTGAGATCAAGTCCCTCTTCACATTAAAGATAGTACTGCAGCATGTTGCAGTACTATCTCGGTGCTAAATGAACAGATCTAGCAACCCAAGTGCGGGCATCCATGAGGCACTGATGGCCATTAACAGCACTCAAACAGTACTCCAACCATGTACGTCATGGCCCAACTTTACTACCAATCCAGGGAATCAACCCTGGTTCAGTGGAGAGTGCAGGAGGGCATGCTAGAAGCAGCACCAGGCATACCTGAAAATGAGGTGTCAGCCTGGTGTGGCTACAAAACAGGACTACTTGGATGCCAAACAGCATAAGCAGACAGAGCTAAGCAAATCCAACACCAATGAATCAGATCTAAACTCGGCAGTCATGAGTGGTGGTGGACAGTTAAACAATTCACTGGGGGAGGCTCCACAAATATCCCTATTCTCAATAATGGGGGAGACCAGCACATCAGCACAAAAAGATAAGGCTGAAGCATTTGCAACAATCTTCAGCCGGAAATGGCAAATGGATAACTCATCTCAACTTCCTCCAGTGGTCCCCAGTCTCACACATGCCAGTCTTCAGCCAATTTGATTCATGCCACATAATAGCAAGAAATGGCTAGAGGCACTGGATACTGCAAAGGCATAGATTCATAGAAATCTTTCGCACAGAAAAAGGGCCTCTCTGCCCATCGGATGTGTGCTAATCAAAAATGACCACCTAACTATTTAATCCCCTCTAATTCTAATGGGCCCTGACGCCAGTCTGGCAATATTTACTTGTGCCCAAGAACTTGCCATACCATTGGCCAAGCTGTTTCAGTACTGCCACAACACTGGCATTTACCTGACAATATGGAAAATTGCCTATGTACCCATACACAAAAATCAGGATAAATCCAACCTAGCCAATTACAACGCCATCAGTCTACCCTCAGTCAAAGTGAGGCCATCAAACAGCATTTGGTGCTGACTGCTCAATGTTCAGCCACATTCACTACTCTTCAAATACTAAAGCAGTCCATGTGCAAATGCAGCTAGGCTTGGCTAACATCCAGACTTGTCAACGCAAGTGTTAAGTAAGATTTGCACCATTCAGATGCCAGACAATGATCCTCTCCAACAAGAGATAATGTAACCATTGCCACGTGACATACAATAACAATATCAATGCTGAATCCCCCACTATCAAGATCCTGAGGTTACCACTGACCAGAAACTGAACTGGCTTAGCCATATAAATACAAAGGCTATTGGGGCAGCATGGTGGCTCAGTGGTGAGCACTTCTGCCTCACAGCGCCAGGGACCAAGGTTCAACTCCACCCTCGGGTGACTGTCTGTGTGGAGTTTGCACATTCTCCCTGGGTCTGTGTGGATTTTCTCTGGGTGCTCTGGTTTCCTCCCACAATCTAAAGATGTGAAGGTTAGGTGGATTGGCCATGCTAAGTTGTCCATCGTGTCCAGCAAAGTGCAGGCTAGGTAGATTAGCCCTAGGGAATGCAGGATTACAGGGATTGGATAGAGGTTGGATCTGGGTGAGATGCCCTTCAGAGGAACAGTGTGGTCATGATGGGCTGAATGGCCTGCTTCCACACTGTAGGGATTCTATGCTTCTAAGAGCAGGTTGGAGGCTAGGAATCCTGCAGCAACTGACTTACCTCCCAAAGTCTGTTCAACATCTAAAAGGCACAAGTTGGGAGTGTGATAGAATACTCCCCACTTGCCTGGATGAGTGCAGCTCTAACAACACACAAGAAGCTTTACACCATCCAGGACAAAGCAGCCCGCACTACATCCACAAACATCCACTCCCTCCACCACTGACACTCATGGTGTCTATCAAGTATAAATGCCATTAATCCAAGCGTGAGATTCTGATATAAAATGCAGCAATTCAGGAAATAGATCCATAAATCAGACACATAACAAAATCCACATGCAGAATGACAGGTGATGCCCAAACCCTGGGCTTGGACTTTGAGTTTGGTTTTAGGCTTGTGTCACTGGGATAGGGGCAAATGCCATCAATTAATCAAACTGGCAAACATCCAGGAGAGACAGCTTGAGAGAGAGGCGATATCCAGCTCATTAGTAAAATAATATTCCCTCAATGGCAACAGAATGTGCAACCCACAGCCTCTCTAAAAATACTAGCACCAAATGCTGTGATCCGAACTCTAGCCTGAACTTTAGAGTCAGCTACAGAATGCGCTAGCAGTGACAAAGTCAAATATGGATGCTCAGCTTTAGTTATAGACAACATTGGAACTGTGTCTTGTTGCTGTTCCATAGAATGAAGGAGGGGGAATAATCTAATCCACATACTTGATTTTGTGAAAAGGAAGCAGGTGAGTTAACATTCAGAAAGAAAATAGAACATGCCTTCTGGGTTGCAATTTTCAAGTTCTTCCATTGAAGGAATTTGTACGAGGTGCACAACATTTCCTCTCGGATGGATACTTCAATGCTGGGATCATTGCAATGCTGATTGATTAGGTATAATAAAGTATGGAGCTGGAGGAACACAGCAGGCCAAGCAGCATCAAAAGAAAAAGGTAAATAAAAATTTTTCTGAAGAAGGGTCCTGACCCGAAACATCAGCTTTCCTGCTCCTCTGATGCTGCCTGGCCTGCTGTGTTCCTCCAACTCCACACTGTGTTATCTCTGACTCCAGCATTGGTGGTTCTTGCTATCTCAGTGATTAGGTAAGCAACATTGGATGAAGCAGCAGAGAACAAACGGGTTCTTGCTCATGTTACTGGGACTCCAAAATGAATGCGAAAACGTCGAAGGTTTGGTTTTCTTTATAAAGGGAATGTGGAAGGTGGTCAGATGGCCTTGATCTCCAGCTTGAATCAGATGCCCCAACTTGGTACAGAGTGGCATGGACTCTGAAACCTTGCTGCACTGTAAGCCACACTGTGATTGTGCAAGACCATCACGGATGTTAATTTAGTTTTCTCATCTGTAGCCTCTGAAACATTTAAAACAAAACCCACTCCAACTAACTTAGCAGTGGTGTGAGGACAGGAGCACACCAGACTTGGATTATACCAGTGAGTCATTTTATGGAAAGCGATCAGGTTGTGAGACGAGAAGAAGAGACACATTCACGAGTGCTTGTAAATTCATTAACAAATTTTTCTTTTTGACTTATTCGTGGGAGTTGGGTGTTGCTGGCCGGACCAACATTTATTGCCTGCAGAAGATGGTGGTAAGCTGCCTTCTTGAACCCAAGAAGCCATTTGCTATACTTGCCTTTATTGGACGGTGCATTGAGTATAAGAGTTGGGAGGTCGTGTTGCAGTTGTATAGGACATTGGTTAGGCTGCTTTTGGAATACTGTGTGCAATTCTGGTCACCCTGCTATAGGAAGGATGTTGTGAAACTTGAAAGGGTTCAGAAAAGATTTATAAGGATCTTGCCAGGGTTGGAGGGTTTAAGCCAAAGGGAGAGGCTGAATAGGCTGGGGCTATTTTCTCTGGAGTGTTGAAGGCTGAGGGGTGACCTTATAATGGTTTATAAAATCATGAGGGGCATGGATAGGGTAAATAGCCAAGGTCTTTTCTCCGGGGTGGGCGAGTCCAAAACTCAAGGGCACAGGTTTAAGGTGACAGGGGAAAAAGATTTAAAAAGGGACCTATGGGACAACATTTCACGTAGAGGGTGGTGCGTGTATGGAACGAGATGCCACAGGAAGTGGTGGAGGCTGGTACAATTACAACATTTAAACGGCATCTGGATGGGTACATGAATAGAAAGGGTTTGGAGGGATATGGGCCAAATACTGGCAAATGGGACTAGATTAATTTAGGATATCTGGTGGAGATGGGCGAGTTGGACTGAAGGGTCTGTTTCCATCTCTCTGACTCTGCCATTCATGTGCTGTAGGTACATCTTCAATGCTGGTGGGGAGCAAAGTCCAGGATTTTGACCCAGCCTCAGGTGAATTATTGAAAGCCAGGCTTGGAACAGGTCAATTTTGAGCAAATAGCCACACAGACAAGCAGAATATCAGGTTATCACAGAATTCCAGGGATCTGGAGACATAATACAACTCCGAGGATGAACCTCAAGTAGAGAGAATGCTCTCTGTGGCTTGTGATTGTGCCACAGGCTGCAATTCACCCCAACCCAACCCAACAATTATCTTCTAATATGTTCTATGGTCCTTTGGGTAATATGTGAGGTCTCTTATTGAATTAGATTCTACAAACCATCATCCCTTTAACACAACCAGTCAGCTGGAATCAGTCAATATAGACCCTGGGAATTTCAACTTCCTATCATCTCCCAAAGATATATGAATGGTTAATAAATAATGGTAGTGGGGCATTGCTCCTTCACAAGGCCTACTATAGTTCAAATCAGTTCTGATTCTTTTATTTTTCTTCCTATTTCCAACGCTCCTTGAAAACACTTCTATAATCAAGGGAGGGACTCCTCCCTGTTGCTAAATTGTTGCTAAGTATACGTTACACAGTTGCTACAATGTTATAAGCAGCTTCATCATCATTCTGTTTGGAAGCATTTCTGGCAGCAGGCCATTCGGGCCAGCTAGGACAGCATTCAGAGGGGGTGGGATGGGGAATCAAAACACAACCCACCACCGGTAGTTAGAGAGAAGGGGCATCTTCAAACAACCAAGTGAACATCTGCATTGGCTTCACTATCAGTGGGATAGCAGACTTTCCCGTCAGAAAAGGCTCACAAATCCTCATCACAGGTCTTTATGTCAGTTGTTGCCTTCGGTCATGCTCTTAGCCCAAGAGGCCACCGTTTAAGGGCACCAATCCTCCACAAAGGAGTCGCATGGCATTCTTCGACTACTCATTCACTGCCATCTGCCAACTGACTGGATTCAGATGCCCATTAGTAAGTGTGGAAGAGTTGTCAAATGTGATATGACCTCCACTCGTTCTCAGTTGGAAATGGAGTTGTGAAAGAGAAACGGAGAGGTTACAGAGAAGCCTTTTTGTGTGGGACTTTCTTCAGATGGTAAAAAAAGTCAGGAATTAACTGCCTGGTATTTCCCTGGCACAGACCTGGATCCTAGCAATCTATCATGGCATGGAATCACATCAAAAAACTGTGCAATTGGTTAGGTCGTTATAACTGTCTCAGAAGAAGATCAGGCAATGCTTTCAGGGTGTCAAAACTCTACTCCTGTTTTGAACACAGGATGGATACAATAGACCTTGCTGAGCATCTTTCTGCCTTTTAGAATTCCTGTTTTTGGTTGACTCTGTGACTTTGATTGCTACATTTACAATGAGCCATATTGATCAGAGGTTCACAGTCTTTGATGTCCAGTCTGCACTCAGCTGGACTGAGACAGGAGGCCTGGCAGGACTGCTCCAATAGCCAAGTTTGCCTTTGTGTGGACAATAAATGATGCTGTGGTCAAACTTGCCCTGGCCAAATATATTGTCAGTTTTGTTCTGAAGCAAGGTACTGGAAGATGCTCAGCAAATGTGGAATCACATACTGGCCCGAGTTGACATCCGCGAATAATTGCAAACATTTTTCACCCGAGCAAAACAAATTCGAGATAACCGTGACATTTCGTTGGTGATTTCATACCTTACGCAGTATTTTACCACAAGGAGGCCATCCAAAGCCTTGTGCCAAACCATTAAAGAACCAGAGCACAGCAAAAGCAGTGACTGTGGAACTCCATGAGAAGAACACGTTTATCAGCCCGACCAGGAACAGTCCAGAGCAGAAAAGCAAGCGAGCACTGATCTGATCAGATAGAACACCACTGATGAATTTACTGATAGCGTAGGCTAGTGACTGGCTACTGGTTATCAGACCTGCAAGCAATAAACAAACCCAGATTAGATCACTATCTTCACTGCACACTGATTAATGCATAATTCCCATTACTCACTGTTTAATTGCTAACCTCAGTGCTGTTCTCCATGTTCTATTTGAAAACTTTGACCTGGCGCCATCATCCCTTTAACACAACCGGCTGGCTGGAATCAGTCAATATAGACCCTGGGAATTTCAACTTCCCATCATCTCCCAGAGATATATGAATGGTTAATAAATAATGGTAGTGGGGCATTGCTCCTTCACAAGGCCTACTATAGTTCAAATCAGTTCTGATTCTTTTATTTTTCTTCCTATTTCCAACGCTCCTTGAAAACACTTCTATAATCAAGGGAGGGACTCCTCCCTGTTGCTATAATTTAAAACCTTTTCACTATGTTGTAACTACCTCTGTAAGTAATGCTTATGCTTTCCTTTAATCCTCTTTGGATAAGAACACTTTTTGTTTTACTCTGTAAGATTTGTACCTAGGTACTTATACTTAAGATGGCACCATTAAAAGGCAGCAATTGTAACAACTTTTTCATTGTACTCCTTTACTTTGGTATTGTTGTACAAGTGACAATAAAGGATATTCTATTCTATTCTATTCAATAAACTCATCTTCCAGTTCCTCGTTCAGTTTCAGTAGGATGCTGGGTTTAGATATGACTTGTAAAAATTGCAATCTTAAAGTTATCTTTCTTTCTATTTGTCAGCCCTTTGATTATCACTGAGCCAAACAAAATGCAGTCAATATTCTCATTCACTGTGTAACCAGAGTGGCAACATTTGATCTCTCTCCAACTTCCTCTCCTCACTCCCCACTTGGGATTCATCACATTGTGACGATTCATATCGCCATAGAGCTCTACAACATAGAAAAAGGCCCTTCAGCCCATTAAGTCTGTGCTGGTCAAAAACAACCATCGAACTAGTCTAATTCCACTTTCTAGCAGTTGGGAGCACACTTTCTCAGAAACAAACTTTCAAAAGCCTTGATTGCTCTTTTTGGCCACAAACAAATATGATGTGATAGTTACTGCATGAACCCTGGGTAAAATCAATATTGCATCTACCGATTCTCATACCAGACTTAACATCTGGCTTGAAAATACGATCTTATCCAATTACTAATCACTCCACGCTCATGCTTGACTTTCACTTCAATACTGTATTCATTACATCAATTTATGGATAGATTTTCCTCTCATTTTTTCATGTACTCTTTCTTGAAGTACCTCCTCCAAATTATGACGGCTACTTTAAGAACAAAGGGTTCCCCCATTCAAGGTGGAGACATGGAATTTTAATTCCTCCTCAAAAGGGTCATTGATCTTTCGAATTCTCCTCCCCAGAGAACTGTGGACACGGGGCCATTGAATATTTTTAAGGGCAAGTTGGATAGATTCTTAACTAACAAAGAAATCACGAAAGTGGAAGCTACAATCAGATCAGCCATGACCTTATCAAATGGCAGAGCAGGCTCAAGGGGTTGGATGGCCTACTCTTCCTAATTTGCAAGTTCATACATATATTCATTAATATATCTTTACTCATGGCCATGCTCATGACCACAACGGTTTCTTCCTCCCCCAGCAGGACAAATAAAAACAGTCTAACTTTCCTCTTCTTCCCCAGATTAATGACCCCAGGGGCAGAGCTGGAGTCTCCATGCACTCTTAAACTCATTCCTTAGGGAATAGAAATCCAACCCAGCTCTTGGTAAAAAAGCACATCACCGTGGGAGGGAGATGGAAATTTGAAATAGAAACAGAAAATTGTGAAAATGCTCAGCAGCTTTGGCAGAGTCTGAGGGGAGACAGAAACAGAGTTAATGATTCAGGTTGTTGAACTTTTATCCAAACCAGCCCATGAATGCTAACAGCAGCTTTCTGACAGGCACATGTCTCCTACAGTTCATTACTAATTCACCAGTAAAAAGTGATATACTTACCCAAATCATCTTTCTCCAAGGTCACTTCTTCCATAACAGAGGGCATCACAAACGAGAAGGTTTTTCTATTGAAGTAATACAGCGTGTATCCCACAAACATGGCTGTGAAGATGCTGAGCCTGTAGTAGCCGTAAGAAGCCATTTTTGAACAGCCTTTGGCAATCGTTGAGCAAATCTAAAGCACACAACACAACTGGTGGCAGTAGGTTTTACACAGCACTGTCCTCTTCCCCAGAGATCAGATCAAGCACACACAAGGCAAATAACAGCCCATTTAATGTCCCACGATGCTTTTACGCAAAGTATATTTACATTAAGTAATGAGGTAGGACAATTGTAACTTTGAGAGTTAACGAGGGCAAAGAGAAAAAAAAACAAACTTCACTGTTCAATTCCACATTATGTTTCTCTTGTCTAGTTTGAGAGTTGATTGGACTTTTTTTTCAAAACAACCTTTGTTTGTTGCTGGCAAAACATTAACTCTGGGAGTCCAAGAGATTGAAGGAGTCATTACCCTGAAAGAGGAACATGGAAAAAATGAAATAAATGAAAGCACGGAGAGACTTTTCAGGTTGTGAAAAATAATAAGAATTGTTAATAATTACACAGCATCAAGAAAGATAGCTACTGTAGGTCAAAGATGGAAGTGCATGGAGCCAGTTGTTCAAAGGAGGAAACTATGATGGCTCAGCCACAAGATTTTAGCTTATTTTTAACACTCTTTAGTCTCACTGACACTTTATCTAGTTTCCTAATTAATTTTTACAGAGAATCAGCAGAACAACACACTGAAATGAAATCATAATCAGAGCTGTATCAATGTGATCTACTTTTCTAATTACAAAATAATTACATGTTTTACTTAAAATGTTCAGCACCACTTGCATAATGGTCTTGGATGGAATAGCTACAAACTAAGTCCCTGCTCTGAGGTGGTGACAATTGCCAATCACACTGTAAGGCACATTTCTTTCAATTTCTGTATGAGATTAATTGTTTACAGTTTGCACCTAATCAAAATCATTAAAGACGCAGTATTTTACTTCACATTTATACATTAAAAACGCACAATGTTCTCCTTTGGTAGCTCCCTCCCTAAAACTGTAACTCATTGTACAGCTTCAGGCTAATGGCACCTCTGTGACTTTGCTGAAGTGAGAAACAGTGGGGAAGAAAGTTTGAAACTTAGTTAACTGCGGGAGGCAGCGCTGCCAGTCCAATCCAAACCTCAACCAGAAGCACACCATCCAGACTGGGCTTTTTGATAGTCATCAAGAGTGAAGCCCTCACTCATTTTCTCCTCAACCAAGGTTTCAATTGCAGTTTGAATCAGAACTGAGCCTGATTCTGTTCACTTTTTGCCCACATATTTTCTATTTGCTGTCATTACAGAGATCAGGAGCAGGAACACTTGCTCCAAATACAGTTGTACATTCCATAATCAGTGCACTTGATGGGCCAATAGGCTTCCTCCCTTTAACAATCACAGCAGTGTCCACACTTCAACAGTACTTCATTAGCTGCTTCATGCTTTTGGAACAGTCTGAATGAAACAAAGGCGCCATATAAATGCAAGTCTCATTTTGTGTTTTGACTTTTACTCATCTATAAAAACTTTTCAAGATAGTTCCAAATTACTTAAACACTCCTTCCTTTGAGAGCTGCAAAGTTTTATAAACCAATGTTTCCAGTGCATTTGAGTTTTAGCTTTGACCTTGTGTTGCAGACAAACAGCATAACAACTGGATTGTCTACATGTTATGGTTCGGAGCATAGCCCCCAGCTGTCACACAGGTTCTGCTGCAATGTTATTTCAGGGTAACCTCGACCAGTGAGCTTGGTACAGAATTATTTATGTAGAAACTGCCCCGAGAACATGACTCACTATCCTTAGCAGCCGTTTTGATTTAATTTTTCCCCTTTCCCCTGAAGAAAGGGGTCTCACCCTTCAGTGATCATTTTAATCCTTACATTAAGTAACACTCCAGAGCCTCTTACTATCTATACAGTGATGGCTTCCTCTGTACTTAAAGAAACTTCTAATCCTTTGATCCTGGGCTGTCCTGATTCTAAGGCAGAATAATTACGTCTATTAGCATAAAAGATAAAGGTAAAGTCGCTATAGTCTCAAAGGACCACGGGGCTGCTCTGTCACTAGAGAGAGGGAGAGAGAAAAACAACTGGTGGTGGTTTAACCTGAGGGCACTAAGATTACACAGGATACAGGGAGAGGAACAACTAGCAGTTCTACTCAAACTTCCTTTCTTCCCACATCTAAAAATACCAATATAACCATCTATTGCCCTCCCCCGTATATACTTGTCCAGCTGCCTCTTAATTGTGTCTACACTGTTGATTTCAAGCACATAATGTGCTCCACTATTTTAGCAGCAATGGAGTTGGGAGCTGGGATCAAGAGAACGTGCTAGACTAAAGAAACTATTATTTTTCAGGCCATAAACTCCTACTGGAAAGAACACCATCAAACCTGGATCCCTGCAAAAAGGAGTCCTGAGGAAGGCAGCTTCGTCGCTATCTGCTGCTTCAGGGACCCCCCTTCCTCTCCCCTTCTGTAGAGGCGATGGCCTAGTGGTACTATTGCTGGACTGTTAATCCAGAGACCCAGATAACATTCTGGGGACCTGGGTTCAAATCTCGCCATGGCAGATGGTGGAATTTGAATTCAATAGATATTTTCATAGAATCCCTCCAGTGTGGAAACAGGCCATTTGGCCCAACAAGTCCACACCGCTCCTCAGAAGAGCATCCCACACAGACCCATTTCCCTACATTTCCCATGTCTAACCCACCTAACCTAAACATTTCTGGAATTAAGAGTCTAATGATGACCGTGAATCCATTGTCAATTGTTGGAAAAACCCATCTGATTCACTAACGTCCTTTAGGGAAGGAAACTGCCATCCTTACCCAGTCTGGCCTACACGTGACTCCAGACCCACAGCAATGTGGTTGACTCTTAACTGCCCTCTGGGCAATTGGGGATGGGCAATAAATGCTGCTTAGCCAGCGATGCCCTCATCCTGTGAATGAACAAAGGAAATAAAAAAGGCAGCATGTTCAATGTATCAATCAGGAAGCACGTTCTTGGCGCTGGACGACAAATTGCATACCTATGGACAGCGTTGCATCAACTGTGATGGTCCAGCAATGCTCTCAATTTAGGGATGACCATTTAAGCAAATATAGTAGAATTTTGGAAGTGCCTTCAGGATGGAAATTCCCAAACAGGACCAAAAACACAAGATGTACCAAAAAGAATTGCGTAAAACACAACCATGCTATTTAAGAATAAAAACAATAAATTTATAAATTCCCCACCCATTGCTGCTGCTCTTGGCGAAGATCCATTGCCTCTAGTCCAAATTAGACACGTTTAGACATATAAACATCGGAACAAGAGTAAGTCGTTCAGGCCATCAAATGTGCTCTGCCATTCAATAAGGTCATAGCTGATCTGATTGTAACCTCAAAACCCACATTCCCGCCTATTGCTGACAATCTTTCACCTGCTTCCTCAACAAGAATGTCCAGAGAGAAGTTAAAATAAAACAGACTCAACATATCATAAAATGTTTGGGTACAGTCATCATTTCCTACATTACAACAATGAACGTACTTCAGAAATATGTCATTGACTGTGATGTACATTGGAAAATCAAGCAGTGGTGCCATGCACCAAATTGCAGGACTTGCTATTTTATACACTGACACCTTGCTTTGCTACATGGGGTTACTGTGAAGCACCTACTCGAGTGACATCAAACCAGAATCAGTTACATATAGTAAAAGGTTGTATGATTAGGGAGTTAGAGTGAAAGTTGTACACCACCTTGCACTGATAGCTTAATAAGAAATACTGTAAAGTTGGACACTTTATTTCTTTATTTTTTGCCTTAAATTCAATGTTTTGGTTTATTTTTCTGTGTTTTAGGACGGCAGAGAGTGGTGACACTATACCACACTTTTCAGCGTATTTTGTAACAAGATACACGTGGCAATAAATAAATCAAATCCATCTAATGCAATATAAACCAGTTCCCAGTTCTAGCAGAGATTTCTCTGTGGAATTCCACAGACTGTTAATTGAACAACATACAGAGTTGCTGCACAAGAATTAATTTGAAAAGGATGGAAAGTCTACCTCTGCCATCAGGGTGATAGATATGGGTTAATTATCTAGGTCATACTAATGATTTAAAAAGGCTTGGTGACAAAGTGTAAGATTTAATCCATCTCCTCTTCAACAGCTTGTAACAGCCCAAAGTTACATTAACCATGACCATAACTTTCAAAATGCTTTTTGAAAGAGCAAGATTGCATTTACAGTCATAAATTCGTACAGCACGGAAACAGACACTTTGGTCCAACCATTCCGTGCTGGATATAATCCCAAACTAAACTAATGCCACTTGCCTGCTCCTGGCCCATATCCCTCCAAAACTTTCCTATTCACGCACTTGTCCAAAAGTCTTTTAAACATTGTAATTATACTCACATTTTCTCAGGAAATTCATTCCACACACGAACCACCCTCTGTGTAAAAAATTTGTCCCTCATGTCGTTTTTAGATCTCTCTCCAATGATACAGTACTGGGTTAAATCACTAACCACAAACACGAAAATTGAGATGGTACCATAGTCAAAAATGGAAGGAAAGATCAGACACCAACAACATTATGGCACCACATTGTCCAAGCAGAAGAATCAATACATCTTCCTGCTCAGCATGATCACCAAATGTGTAAAACTAACTTCTACTTTTACACTTTGTGGCCTATTAAATAATTATTTTCTTCAGCTGAAACACAACTACTCAAACTGTAAACTGTACAGCATTGTAACGTATCTCGAGCTTCACAACCTCATGGCTCTGAAAACAATTATTGTTATTAAATAAACACAGTGAGGCTGAACAAACAGTAAAAAGCTGAGTGAACATTTAAAGCACTTCATTGGTATTATTGGTATTATTGGCTATTGAGGGAGAAGTGGTTGGCATGGAAACTGGAAACCTTCCAGCTCTTTGAATATGCCAGTCCATCTCACGATCAGGGCAAGAATTGGTTTGGGGGTGGGGGGCAATTGCTGGAAATAAAGGTACATGGGGGAAAAGGGTCATCTGAATGATGCACTTCCAGCAATGTAGCACCACAGAGGTTCAGCTTAACTTAAACCTGATGTTAAAGTAAGAAGTCTCTGACTCAGAGGCAAGGGAGCTGTCAAAGGGATGTCAAAAGATAGCAAAATGGCATCAGATAAATTGCAGCGTTCATTGACCCCATTTACACGAGCTTCCGCATCTACCAACAATGTTTATTCTGCAAGAGTTCTCTGGGCCATAAGACCTTGATGTCAGTGAGCCTTTTAAAAAAAAAAGGCTCTGCAATAACCAATTTTAAATAGCTTGCAATTTATATGCCAACACTCACTTAAATGGTTTGCTTTTCATCTCAATCACTTTGTGGTAGAAACATCCACATTCTCATCGCTCCTTACGTGAAACAAAACTTCTGAATTCCTTATTGCATTTGTTGGTGACGATCTTACACTTCTGACCGTGGTCATGCATTAATATATAACATCCCTCTGCTACTAAGAATACTTATGATGATCCTGGCGTTAAGTGTATCATTGCAAGTTTTTGCCTGTGAAGTTAGATTAATTCATTTGACATTTCACAGTGCATTTCATACAACGGAAGTCAATCTCTGAGCAAAGTTAACTGCATTAATAACCTTTTCCTTGCATGCTCAAATACTCAGCAGCTATCTCACCAGGTCAGAACAATGTCCACAAAATATGTCTTTTTTTAAAAAAAAAGGATCAAAGGCCAAAGGAACGATTAGTTCAGTTTTGTCACTGCATTCCGGGGAAAACTGCATCAAGTACGTTACGATACTTCCTATGCTGCAAACTGGGGCCTCGTGTTCACTTCTCTGCCGTTTCCCTGGGGTGTTTTAAGAGGATTCTCACCCACTCATTCTTACCTGCATGAACTTTGGAAGGGACAAGCCCTCTCCGTTTCTGTCTGAACCCCAGGACAGCGGAGACTCCTCCCGCTTCCTTCCAGATCAGCTGTCCCGCCCGCTCCAATCAATTGGCCGCCCTGTCCGGGACTCTCCGTTTCATTGGTCAATATAGCCGTCAATCGTTTTACAGGTTCCATGGGAAGTCGGCCATTGATTGGACGAGAGGTGTATCAATCCTATGGAGGTTGGAGCGGACTGGCCTGAGCTCGTGTTCATTTCGTGTCAATCAAACCCAGGGACGGTGCAGCAAAGGAGAGAGCTCAGTTGGGTTCTTGTAATAAAAGATTCATCTGAAACTTTGCAGGATTCATATTAAATCGTGCATTATGCAGAATGCAACCGTTTCTACCCGCGGATAAATGTATAAAAATATCCAGCCGCTCTGTTTGTTATTGGCGGAAATGAACATTCGACTGCAGGTCATTCCAGTTTGTTTTCGCCAGGCAGGGTCGGAACTGACGTTCACAGTCAGCAGCACTCATCTCTGGATGTTATAAAAAGGGAAAGGGAGAGACTTCCGCATTGGGATACAATGGAGTGGTTGGGTTAGCCTTGAGGGAGGTAGAAGTACAGGTTGCGTGTGTGTGTGTGTGTGTGTGTGTGTGTGTGTGTGTGTTCCCAGGCATAGTCCAGCTGGTTCTGTCCCTTACCCTGCTGCAGGTGCGTCCGCTTCCAGCCAGCGCCGCTGACACTCGGCAACCGAGCTGAAGTTGCCATTCATCGACCTCAATGCAGAATTCAAGAGGACAGGTAAGTGGCGCGCACAGCTTACCTGCTTGGGACTCTACCCTCACATTGGTTTTGTTTTGGTGTTTTTTTTTGGGAAAATAAAGTTCACATTTGGTACATCAACTGGCAAGTTTCCAAGTAGCATGATTTCCTCTTTGCAGCCTGATGATCCGGATGGTAAGTGAGGTTTGGACTTGTTTCATGTCAATGCAGGCACACGGTTGCTGACATTTACGAAGCTGCAATTGTAAAGTCTTGTGACTTTGTAGTGAGTCCTATAATTGGGGGTGGGGGGTCAGTGCGAGAGATAACACCATGGATGCCTTCATTGGAAAAGAAAAAAAGATTCAGTGGTTGTGATCGCTGTCATTCGTGACTCCTGTACTTTCTTTTGTCCATTTTCCTATGAAGTAGATAAAAGTAAGAGACACCCCACCCCCGCCTGGTTCTTCACTGAGCAATATGATGTTTTGAGGGTGCACTTGCTTATTCAGCTATACAGTTTTCTCAGATAGTTTGAAATTGTAGTTGTGGAGATGTTGTTTCCTCTTGTGGGAGAGTCTAGGACCAGCTGGCATAATCTCAGAGTAAGGGTCACGCAGTTTGGGCAGAGATAAGGGAGAATTTCTCCTCTGAGGGGGGTAAATCTGGAAATTTTTTTACTGCAGAAGGCTGTGGAGGCTAAATCCTTAAGTATATCCAGGATTTGAGAGAATTGTAATCAGTAAAAGGATCAGAATGGGGGAGAAGTCAGGAAAGTAAGGTTGAGGATTATCAGTTTAGCCAATATTTTGATGAACAGTGGAGCAGACTCGATGGGCTGAATGGCTTTATAGATTTGCATGCAGCTGCTCTGACTGTCTTTTTCTTAAAAAATTAATTTAGTGCTGCTTTCTTTTCTCTCATGGGACCAAGAAAGCACTTGGTCTCCAGCACCAGTTGTTTATTTTGTATTTCATCAAGGCTGTTTTGTTAGAAAGTGAGATGAAGCTGTCTGAATTTGAACAAATCTGTTCTCTGTGAAAGCGCTTTCTGGTTTCTCTTTGACCTGTGTTTCTTTTTAAAGTCATACACACAACTTTTTTATTAAACTAAAATAATTAATGTGCTTTATCCTGCATCCCATGTAGCCCTGTCCTAATAAAAACAATAAAGAACACAAGTAGGCAAAAACGTATCTGTACTCCTTCAGTTCTGGTCTCTTCAGCATTCCAGATTTTAATTGCTTCATCAATGGCAGGCATTGCCTTCAGTGCCTTGTCCCAAAGCTCTGGAATCACCTCCATTAAACTCTCTGCCCCTTTACATCTGTCTTCATACTTTAACCTTTTCCTTGAAACCCACCTCATTGATCAAACTTTTGGCTATCTGCATTAATATTATCTTGGGGGACTTGGTGTCATTTCATTGGGATTTCGGGATGCTCCAGTAAAGTACCTGGTGATCTTTTATGCTATGAAAGATGCTATATAAACTTGTTGCAAAAACAATTTGAAACAGTTTCGCAGATCTTGTGAAAAATGTTTGAATTTTGTGTTTGCTATTTTTGTCATACCCATCTCTCTTTCTTACCCACTTTCTTTTTGGTTTCTTCTCTATATGTAGTATGTAACTTGTTTATGCTGCAAAGTAACAAATACATTATCTCTTTAGAATTCCTCTCCAACCTGTACACCTGTTTTGCAGTGTGTACTTCTGAAAGTTACAGCAGAAAAAAATGCAGTGTGGTTTTGTAGTTTCATGACAAATATTGTTTCCTTCTGCGGCTATTTCTTTCTCAATGAGCTTGTTGTTTGTTCCACACTGTCTTATTAATTTTTACGAACTTTACAAGCCAGTAATCTCTTGATTGTCATCTTCCATCCTTACAATTTCAGTCTCTGGATTGTATCCTGTATCTCTTTTGCTCACAACGTCACCATTACTTATGTTCTAAGTCTGCCTCTATTTTTTTAATGTACGTTTTGGCAGCCACCCCTTCTCTCTGTAATGGAGCAGTTTCTAGACTAAAATGAGCAGCGGAATGTTACAGCTTTAAATTTGCATGTTCCATCACTGCTCTTTTTCCTTTCTCTTATTGAATCAAGTTCCATTCCGGAGGCTTACCTGCTAAATCCAGGCTGACATTTCTGAAGAAGAGTCCCGACCCGAAACGTCAACTTTCCTGTTCCTCTGATGCTGCCTGGCCTGCTGTGTTCCTCCAGCTCCACACTGTGTTATCTCTGACTCCAGCATCAGCAGTTCTTACTATCTGACTATTCAATGGAGTTTGGACTTGGGTGCTATGTTATCAGAAGTGATGCCCTTTTTGGTGAAGCATCAAATTATTGCTCCATCCATTGTCTTAGATACATGTATCCGTACAATGGGGCATTATTTGCAAGAAAACCAGAGGATTCTCCCAGAGTCCAGATCCATATTTATTCCAGAATCAGCATCTCTAAAACAGATTACCTCGCCATTTATCTCAATGCAGTGTGTAAATTGGCAACTATTTCGTGACACAACAGAATTAATTTAATATTTTTAAGGCCCTCTGTGAAAGATTCCTTGGAGATGGAATTCCTCTCTTGTGCTTTCTTTAGATTCTTGTAGACCTCACAAACATTCTCCCTTCATCTCCCAAAACTGTTGATACTTGGGTTGCTCCCTGTTACTTTCTTGCTCAAGTCAGCGCTACAAGTGCATGATCCCCGATGGGGAGTGTCCTATACGATATTTAATCATCAAAGCAGCACCATGCACTTAATTCTACCCTCACCAAAAACTTAAACATGTGCGATTGCAATGAGGGTCTCTAGAAACTGACAGCAATCCTCTACCCAATGCGATGTGGCTAATTGCATTTGATGTAAGATGAATGACCTCTGTTACATGGGGGGTAGCTCTGGTGAAAGTGTGACACTTCTCTGGGCAGAGAAGGCCGAAAGGTGATTTTGATCAAGAAGGATCTGGATAGAGTAGATCGAGAGAAACTGTACCCATTCGCAGAAGGATTGAGATCTAGAGGGCACTGACATGAGGCCAGTGGCAAAAGGATGTTAAGTGATGTGAGGGATAACTTTCTCTTGTTGTTCTGATCTGCAATACACTTACGGGTGTGACAATGACAGATTCAATTATTTATCTTAAGTATACCTGAGGAGGGAAATTTTGCAGGGCCATGGGGAAAGGGAGGAGAGTGGGACTGGCTGAGTTGCTCTTAGAGAATCAGTTGGATGTGACCTGCCAAAAGGCTTCCATCCACGCTGTACCCATTCTGATTCCATGTAATGCTGCCTTCGTCCAATCAGGCATAGTGGGGACGATTGAACCCTCTGCTCTCTGAATCTGTCTGGTTTAGCTTTCTGAATAATTCCTTGTAGTTTCTTTATTTAAAAAAAAAAAAATTGTTCAATTGTCCGGGCAATATATGGGGCAGTCAAAAGTCAACCACATTGAGTCTGGAGTCACAGCCCAGGTAAATATGGCGGATTTCTTTCCCTTTAGGGACGGTAGTGAATCAGATGGATTTTTATGATGATCAATAATGGCCATTATTCGGATGGATTTCTATTCGATAAAATCTGGATTTCACCACATGCCAAGATGTGATTTGAGCCCGTGACCCCTGGGGTTCTGAATTGCTTGTCAAGTAACATTGCCACCATCTCCAAATAACAGTTTTGCAAAGTGATAGCTGTATTTGCTCCTCATTCATCTCTCTGTAGTGAGTTCTCAATCTCTATGAAGCTGTGTGAGAAAACTGTTCTTACTTGAGACCCTCATCCGGAAGGACATTTAATCAATGATACACTTGTCTGTTGACTAATCAGTTGTAAGGTAACAGGTTGCTTCATTTAGCGATGGGGAGAAAATGTATTTGGTTGTTAGGAAGCTAAATATACAATTATGCCTCTTGGGCATGTTTGTTCTGTTCTGTTGTGTGACCAGTTCGTCCAGTGCTTGGCATCAGAAATTAAAATCACTTTGAAATGTTGCTGAGGAACTTGGACATGGATGTATTCGAAGTGGATCTTCATTCCGATCTCCTCACGGGAGTTCATGAGTTTTAAAACAAACGTTTCATGCCATTGGTAGGGAGGGAGATTTTTTTGATGGCTCATAGGAATTGACAAGGGGTCACCTTTTCAGTTGGGGCTGAAACTTTAATTGTATCTGTGTTTGGTTCAGATTGTGTTGCGTTCAATGGGAACCAGCCAATTCTTTGTTTCACCCATTTTTTACAAGCAGCTTTGTGATTGTCTTCCCTTTTTCTTCCTTTCATTAACTCAGAATTAAACAAACCTTTCCTTTGGTTCAGCTGTCTCAGCATTAATTCGAGAAATAATTCTAATTTAGAAACAACTACAGCTAATATTCAGTATCTGTGGGGAGAGAAACAGAACATTTCAGGTGGAAAACTATTCATTAATACTGATTCACGCTACATAAACTGAGGGGATTTCCTTTTGCACAAAGTGTTGCAGTCTGAAATACAGACTGGCGAAATTGAGGATTTCTCTTGGAGCTAAGAAACCCGAAAGGGAATTAAATCATGAGAAGTCAGGGCAGAGTAATCTAGAGAAGGTGCTCTCACTTGTGATAAAGGTAGCAAATAAAGAGGAATAAATTTGAAGCAACTGGCAGAAGAAGTAAAAATGATACAAAATAAAACACTTTTTCATACGAATAGTGAGGCTGTTGGATGCACTGCCTAGTAGAGGCAGGTTAAACCGAAGCATTGAAAAGTTCTGATGCAGGGTCACTGGACCCACAGTGTTGACTTGCTTTGTCTCCAGATCCTTCCAGACCTGCCGAGTTTTTCCAATTTCTGATTTCCAGCATCCGCAGTTCTTGGTTTTATTTCAGCGCAGCCAGGGTGAACCAATGGCCTTCTCGGCTATATAATTGTCACCGGTGAAGTTACACTTTGGAGAAGTGGTCGAGGGGTCGTTGAAGCCTGAGAGTAGGTCATCTACTCATTCAGTGGGGAAGTGGGGCAGTTGGGCATATTGCATGTTCTCTGGCCACTTGAACTG